CTAACAAAAATGAACTCAAAGAAGACTACACTGAAACACACTATAATCAGATTGTCAAAAGTCAGAGGCAAAGAAAGAATTTTGAAAGGAGCAAGAGAAAAGCAACTTGTCATGTATAAAGGAGCCTTTATAAAACCACAGGCAGATTTCTCAATAGAAGCTATGAGTGACAGAGGGAATAGAATGATACATTCAAAGTTCTGAAAGAAAAAACAACTACTAACCAAGAATACTATAACCATCAACTGTCCTTCAACTTCAAAACTGAAGGAAAAATAAAGACATTCCAGAAAAAAAAAAGTTAAGGGAGTCACCAGCACTAGATCTGCCTTTCAAGAAATGCTAAAAGGAGTACCTCCAATTGAAATAAAAAGACACTTGATAGCAACATGAAAACATATGGAAGTATAACAGTTTCTGGTAACAACAACCATAGGTAAATATAGAATACTACAGTACTGTAACTAAAAAGAGACAAAGAAGAGCATAATATAACATAGGGCATTATATAGCAATAAAAGGATCAATTTACTAGGAAGATATAAAAACTATAAACATATATGCACCTAATATCACAGCACCAAAATATATGAAGTAAAATTTGACAGAATTGAAGGCAGAAATACATAGCAACACAATAACAGTAGAAGATTTCAATACCATTTCAATAATAGAGCAACTAGACAGAAAATAAATAAGGAAATAGACAACTTGAACATTTTAGAACAAATGGATTAAACAGACATACAAAGAACATTCCACCTAACAGCAGTACAATCCACATTTTTCCCAAGTTCATATGAAACATTCTCAAGGATATATTACATTTTAGGTCACAAAAAAGTCTTAACAAACTTTAAAACACTGAAATTATACCAAGTTTTTTTTTTCAGACTACAATGGAAGGAAACCAGAAATCAAAGAAGAAGGAAAAATGCAAAATTTACAAATATGTGGAAATTAAACAACATAATTCTGAATTACCTATGAATCAAAGAAAAATCAAAAGGGAAATAAAAAAATATTTTGAGAAAAACAAAAACAAAAATTCAACATCCCTAAAAATGTGAGGCAGTAGAAGTGGTACCAACAGGTATAGTGTAAATGTCTACATTCAAAAAAGAATAAAGATCTTAAATAAACAGCCCAAATTTATGCCTCAAAGAGCACAAGAAAAAGAAAAACAAATGAAGCCCCAAGTTATCACAATGACAAAAATAATAAAGAGTGCATAAATAAGTGAAATAGAGAATAAAAAAATAATAGAAAAGAATCAAAGAAACTTAAAGTCAGTTTTTGAAAAGATAAACAAAATTGGAAAGCCCTTAGCTAGATTGAGAAAAAAGAGAGAAGATTCAAGTAAATAAAATCAAAAATAAAAGAGGAGACATTAGAACTGATGCCAAAGAAAATAAAAAAGGATTATAAGAGACTATTATGAACAATCAAATGCCAAAATAATAGATAATCTAGAAGAAATAAATAAGTCCATAGAAACATAACCTAGCAAGATTGAATCATGAAGAAATAAAAATCTGAACAGACATAATTAATAAGAAGATTAAATCATTAATCAAAATCCTTCCAACAATGAAAAGCCCAGGACCAGATGACTTCACTGGAGAAATCTAAGAAACATCTAAAGAAGTATTAACACCAATCCTTCTCAAAGTCTTCCAAAACTTAGAAGGGAATGTAATGCTTCCAAACTCATTTTATGAGGCCACATTATCTTAATACCCAAAGCTGGACAAAGATATTACAAGAAAATAAAACTACAAACCAGTATCTTTGATGATTATGATGCAAGAATCCTTGATAAAATACTACTAAAGTGAATTCAATAGCACATTAAAAGTCTCATATACCATGACCAAGAGGGATTTATTCTTGGGATTCAAGAACAGTTCAACTTATGAAAATTAATCAATATGATCTATTAGAACTAATAATCAAATTCAGTAAAGTTGCAACAAAATCAACACTTAAAAATCAGTTACATGTCTATACACCAACAATGAACAACCTAACAAGGGGATTAAGCAATCAGTCCCATTTAGAATAGCATCAAAAAAGAATTAAATACTTGTGACTAAACTTAACCAAAGAAGTGAAGGACTTGTTACACTGAAAACTACAAATCATTGCTGAAAGAAATTAAAGTCACAAATAAATGGAAAGACATCCTATGTTCATGGATTAGAAGACTTAATATTATTAAAACGTTCTTACTACCCAAAATGATCTATAGATTCAACATAATCTCCATCAAATCCCCAATGACATATTTTTTGCAGAAATAAAAATTTACATGAAAACACAAAGCCCCTCAATGAGCCAAAACAATTTTTGAAAAGAAGAACAAGGCTGGAGGTGTCACACTTGCTGATTTATAAAAACATTACAAAGCTACAGTAACCTAAATAGTAAAGTAATGGCATAAAGACAAGCATACAGACCAATGGAACAGAATGGAGAGCCCAGAAATAAATTCATGCATATATGATCAAATAATCTTCAATAAGAATGCCAGGACTGCACAATGAGGAATGGATAGTCCCTTCACCATAATGTACTGCAAAAACTGTATATCTACATGCAAAAAAAAATGAAATTGAATTCTTATCTTACATCATATACAATGATCAACTTAAAATGGATTCAAGACTTAAATAGAATATGTAAAACTATTAAACTCCTAGTAGAAACCATAGGGGAAAACCTTTATAACATTGATCTTAGCAATAATTCCCTAAATTTGACACCAAAAGAACAGGCAACAAAAGCAAAACAGATAAGTGGGATTATATCAAACTAAAAAGTTGCTGCTCAGCAAAGGAAATAATCAACAGTGAAAAGACAACATACAGAAAGGTAAAAAATATGTGCAAGTCACATATATGATAAATGTTTAATATCTAAATGTATATGAAACCCTTACAAGTCAATAAAAAATTAAATAACCTAATTTGAAAATGAGCAAAGAACCTGAAAAGACATTTCTTCAAAGAAGATATACAAATGACCAATAGGTATATGAAAAGATGTTCATCACAATTTGGAAATGCAAACCAGAACTATAATGAGATATCACCTTTCACTTACTAGGATGACCACTTTAAAAAAAGGAAAGAAAATAATAAGTGTTATTGAGGATGCAAAGAAATTGGAACCATGAACATTATTGGTGGGACTGTAAAATGGTGCAGTTGCTATGTAAACCGTATGGAGTTTCTTCAAAAAAGTAAAGAGCAGAACTGTCATATGATGCAGCGATCCCACTTCTGGGTTTTTAACCAAAAGAACTAAAATTCAACAGATAATATGACTATTATCTCTAGAGTTACATTACAAATGAATGTTTATAGAAAATGTTACAATTCTCTAGACTGAAAATGCATCATCATAAACAATGTTCAAAAATTAATATCAGTGGTTTTTTATTGACCTACTTGATTGCTGGCCACTTGTTTCCCTATAAAAGCATCTGATTTTTGAGCTATTTCACTGTTTTTCACTAGGGATAGTTGAAAATTTTATTCTGTTGATTAATTCTGAGAAATCTAATCCCCACATCTCTCGACTGAGGCCTGGAATTTTTCATGCTACAAGAGCCTACATATCACAGATACGTGTGCCTGACATGCTTATGAAGCTTTCTATTTAATCTGTTTTGTGCTTGTATAAAATTTCAAATCACACACCATACTGGTGTTTAGATTTTTCTGTGACTTAAAGATAATTTATAATTAAATCACATTTTGAGTTTTAAAAAAATGATCAGCAAGGCATAAGCTGTATAGGATTTGGTTTCTTAAACATTGTGTTAAAATAAAAATCAAACATGGAATTCATAAAAAACCTTTAAAGCATATTATACCAGAATTTCTATTTCTTTCATTTTACTTTTCTAATCCAAGAAGGAGAGTAATTCTAAGAGTAACTGGAAATACATACTGAATCAAGGCACTTGCCTATGAAATTAAGTATTTCCAATCAAAACTGCTACTTGGATAATATGTTTTCCACATTCACATGTGTTACAATATTGTCAATATTTTTATGCCTAAAATTTGCATCTTCATGAAGAAAATAATGAGTTATGAGGAAGAATAAAACGGATCTTATAACTGCATTTTGGTATGGGAACTTCTGTATCAAGGGAATATCTGAGGCTCAAGCTGTACACAGATGTTCGCATTATGACTGTAGTTTTGTTTCCATACTCAGGGCCTTGTTCTCTTCCTTACTTACAAACTTGTTTGTTCAAGTCCTGCCTTTTTGGGCAGGATGGTCCACATTCATCACATTTATAGACCTCTGACTGAGAAATGTTCTGTCATTGTACCGAGCCCTTTGGCACAAATGCCAGCCCTTTCTTGTGCCTTGGCCTGGCTTGGTGTGTGGGATGCCTGTGGTCTCTTCAGGGAAGAGCACTCACTGTTTGAATGGACCACATCAGTCCACAGAGGAAAAGAGCTCAGTAAACAGCCAGAACTGGCCCATCAGAGGAGTGGCCATGTGGAGCAGTCCAAGAGAGGGGGTGTAGCAGGAGCTATTTTGCAGTGGAAACAAAGCCAAACGGACTGATGGAGTTCATTCAGGAGCCAGCAGGAAGGAGTAACTGGAGTACGAACAAGTGATGCCTGAGACTGAAGGTGTGGAATTGGGCTGAAGCTGCCCAAAACAACAGTGATGTTTTCTTTATTTCTCTCGGAGAGGCAACAGGGTCAAGACCTACACATTGTATAAGAACCATTTTGCCATTTTAAACAGATCAACACTCACAAATCATATCCCTCCCTGCCCCATGGTCCATCTGCCCTGTGTAATCGTCTGGTTACAAAAAGCACTTCAGAATAAAAGATGCAGGCTGGTTGTAAAGCCTTCCTTCACCAAGGCCCAGCCTCAGGGCTAAACGAGAGAGCTCTGCCAGCCATCAAACTTAACAGCCTTGAAACATGTGCAACGTTTCTCTAAGCAAATTGGTTCCTTAATATGGTAAAATGTGCGGCACCCAAGGGGACATGCTGGTGATCTCATAGCCCAAAACTGATGGAGTCACAGCACTGTATTCCTGAAAAGCACTCATACTTTCCACTTTGATAAAACCAGAAGCAAATATGAGAGTCGGTAGGTTTTGACATCCATTGTTTATTCTCACTGAACTTTTTCTCCTATATAGCAGAGCACAGTGGTTTAATTCATAGCTTATGGGATTTTTTTTTAATATAAACCATTCAAATTTTTTCTATATTAATCAGCGGTTTCTAAAGATCCACAGGGATAAATAAACCCTCAAGCTGGCAGGGGTTTTTCGTGGCATAACCACTGGTAGTTATAAACAGTAAACAAAACATAGTAACCATTTTAAGCACAAGAGATTGCTGTATCACAGGGGGCATAAATCATTAGTTTAATAATTTCAGCAGCAGTGTCTCTAAAGCAAAATTAAGCCAACAGTTCCCCCTGTGGCAATAATGAAGTACTGTAATGTGAAAAGAAAAAAACAACCAAGAGAAGGCATTATCTTGCCTCGGAAATGACTGAAAATCCGAGTTCAACAAATACTTGCAGAACGCTTGTCTCTGTGCAGCTCTTTTGAGAGGTAGAAAAGGGGCTGCCTAAAAGCCCGTGTCTATTCTTGTAGACATTTCAACAAGCACAAGTGTACTTTCCTTCAAGACCCCCACGGCTAGCGTGTGCTGTGGGTAGGGCATGAAAGCGATGACATATCACTATTGAGAAGATGACAAATTTCTCTCAGCTGTATAGGCAGACGTCATTCACAGATTTAGAGAGCGAGCCAAAGGACGCTGGGCCCAGGACAGGACAGACAGATGACCGAGCGCCCCCCCAGGGGCTCTCAAGCTAGATGGCCAACAACCTGGATGAAAACACTTTGCAGCTTTGAGCTGGGCCACTGCACTCAGCACAAGAGTAAAGCTGACTTGCCTTTCTCATGAATTTCACCTAGTGCCAAAGTTCTTTAAAAAAAAAAAAAAACACTTACCCAAAAAATGTGTTCATTTTGGGTAAGTGCACTTGAAAATGGGACTTTATTAAACAAAAGGAGTTCAGCGAGACCTTCCTGATCTCTCCGCTGTGTTGAGTCAATACTACAGAACCTTCATTTTTCACCTTGATCCCTTCATCTGTTTTATGAAATTAGTATAGTCTGATCTGTCATTATCCTTATAAAAGAACATTCTGATTAGTGGCAGTTTTTCTTTTCCCTCAATAATACCATTTCTTTAACGCAGTATTTTACCTACTTACAACATTCCCTATGTTTTTCGGGTACCTATTATGGACACAATTATCTCATAAGAATGTATCTGATTTTAAAATTGTATGATTCAATCAAGCAGAAGCTGTATGACTGGCACAATGGTAACTACCAGCTTGGCTATCTCACTCAGTGGATTGAGGTGGTGATTTTACTTAATAATACAGGGCTACAGATGCAACTAGAGTGCACAGGGTCAAAATCAGTTTTGTAGGACAGACACAGCCTAAGCACTTCAGAAATAATTAACCAACAAATGTATTTTTCCCATTTTTGTTGTGCTTTGTTTTCAACTATGACACTTAGATAAAGTTGTCTTAAAGAACTCGATGACTATCTTTAGTAAACTGGGTTTAATTACAAATAGAATAGCTTTATTTTGTATATATGCACTCCCCTTGATTAACCTGCAATGAGAAAACTGGATGGACAGATGGCTGTCTCTGCACTTATAGGAAAAAGCTTTTCCCCACAAGCTAAATAAATTATTACATCTTTTAGCTCGCTCGCTCGCTCGCTCTCAAAAAAAAATACATCTAGTATAATCACTATACTATACTATGTATTGTAAATGTTCTGCGGAAGTAATCTTGCATACAAAGTGGTTAATAGTGCATCTCATTTATGGTCAAAGAAAGGTTAAAGCTGGATCCTTACTAAAATTGTGAGGGAAATGTGTTCGTCCTTATTTCTGCTCCTTTCTCCCTTTTCCAGGCCCTTCCCCTTTCCTTAGCTTCTCCATGATCTACCTTCTGTCTTCAGGGACTATACAGATTAATGTCACCATTCTTATTTAAATTTGGTGGTTCCCAAAGGTTTCTAATACTTACAATCAGGACAAGGGCCATATAATGAGATATACATAATTAGGATTTCACAAATCTCAACTCCAGTGGCCAGAGGTACAAATGCACAGAAGATACACCCATCTGATACAAAGTGGACAAACAGGCTAAGAGTGAACCTTTCCAAAGTCAGTTACTCAGAACAGATTGCTAATGCTTTATTCTAACAGGTCACAAAGATAGTCCAACCTGCATACTCATCAAAATTGACTAGTGCACCCACAGAATGGGAAAATCTGTTTCAAACCATGTATCAGATAAGAGTCTAGTATCCAAATATGTAAAGAAATTTTATAACTCAACAATATAAAGACAGTCTAATTCAAAAATGGCCAAATGATTTGAACAGACATTTCTCCAAAGAAGATATACAAATGACAAATAATCACTCGAAAAATGGTCAACATCATTCAGCGTTCAGAAAGAAAATGTCAACCGAAACCACAATGAGATGCTACTTCACACCAACTTTCAGAAAGGCTATAATCAAAAGATATACAACAGTAAGTGTTGAGGAGGATGTAAGAACCTTTAACTTTCGTATCTTGCTGGTGGTAATGTAAATGTTGCAACTGCTTTGGAAAACCATTTGGCAGTTGCTCAAAAAGTTAAACATAGAGTTACCATATGAGTAATTCTACTCCTAGGTATATATGCCCAAGAGAACTAAAAACATATGTCCAACAGGAACTTGTACAAAATTACAATAGCAGCATTATTCATAATTGCCAAAAAAGTGGAAGCAACCCAAATGCCCATCAACTGATGAGTAGATAAACAAAATATAGTATATCCATACAATGGAATAAAATACATAAAAAGAAATGAAGCATTGATACTTGCTACCACATGACCCTTAAAATATGCTAAGTGAAAGAAGTCATACAAAGCAGGCCACATAATGTATGTTCCATTTATATGAAATGTCCAGAACAGGTAAATCCAAAGAGACAGAAAATAGATTAGTAGTTTCCAGGGACTTCAGGGAGGAGATAATGAGGTGTGACTGCTAATGGGTACACAGTTTCTTTTGAGGGTAATGAAAACATTCTGGAATGAGTGGTGATGGTTGTACAACTTTGCGAATATGCTAAAAACCACTGAAATGTACACTTTTAAAAGACGAATTTTATGGTATGTGAATGGTATCTCCATTTTTTTAAGTATTAAAGAAAAAGTACTAGTTGACATTTCTATGTTTCAACCCATCTAAACCAAAGCTAGTCATTCTCCTTTTTTTCTTGTCTGATTCAATGCAAAACAGGGTTTTAATTAAGCAGCATGTTCCTCTCCCGCTGTGTCCAGAAACACCTCATACACCTCAAAAGTCAAACTGACAAAAAAGAGGCTTCAGAAAACAGTCGGAATGGTACATAGCAACATACTCAGTCCCCTTATATTTTTCCTAATTCAATTGTCACTTTTCTGGAAACCTACCTCATCACTTTCCCTTCAATTTCCTTGATTTTCCTTCTGAGAATAAAAATGAGGCAAGTCATATATTTACTCATTTTTTTAATTGCCTATCTTCACCTGTAGAATGTAAGCCCCAAGAAGTTGCCTTGGTTCACTGCTGTAGCTCCACGACCTGGAACAGCAGAGTGCCTGGCACAGAGCAAGGCAGGTGCTAAAGAAATGTTTGATGAGTGAGAAAAAAAATATCTCCATTAGACAACAGGGAAGAAAACTAACAGTACATTTATGCAATACTTGAAGTCAAGAACGTCAAGCCTTCCTCTAAGCTCCACCCCTTCTGATGGTGACTTGTCCGTAACCCTGTGAACCTCGTAACTGGGCCCTTATCCATCCCCGGCCCTGACGGCTCCAAATGTCAGTGGATCTGTTTTACTCAAGGAACCCTTCAAGTGCTTCTGAATGCAGTCTAAAATCCTAGCTGTTATTTCCAACTAAACAATTTGCTTGATAGCTTGGCTTGAGAATCTAAGGTCTGACCTGGAAATAAATACTGATGACTGGTGATCCCATGGCCAAACCAAATGACCAAAGGTCTTTTCCCTTTCTACTATTGTGCATTCAAAAATCACATTTTGGCCAAACAAAACATGCTATTATGCACTATACGGAGCATATAAGTCATAGCCTTTGGCCTTAGGAAGAAGTTAAACTTATCACAGAGAGCTTCCCAAAAAAAAAAAAGGCTCTGTGGTCTGTCTCATTTCTGATGATGCACTGGTTTGGCTCTGAGTTTGATCTTAGAATTTATTTTTAAATATCACATTGTGTAGGTGTATGTTCAATGATTCCAGATCCTGAAAGTCATTTATAGCTGCCTTCCAATATTTCTGCTGCCATTATGTATCAGGTAGGACTTATTTAATTTTTTTTCAGAAAGTAGGACCTAAAGAACTAGATATAATTTATCTTTAAAAATTAATTATTCAAGTACTTATAGCTTACAATTCTATCACTAAAATCTAACAAGTCAAAGCCACTAAGGCAAAGAGCAGTAACTATTCCCCACCTTTCCGTAAGCTCCTTATAGGCTGACTCTACAGGGCCCTTTTATGACTTGTTTCTGTTTAAATTTTTATTTCAGCATGATTTCAACTGAATAAAAATATTCCAGGGGGGGGGCGAGTGTGGGAAGACTGATATTGGCCTTAACCCCACATACCCCATCGTGATGGCCCTGATGACAACACACATCTGGATGTTTTCAATCATCCCAATGATTGATTCGATTTTTCCACTCTTCACCTAGACTTTTGGCATCACGGAGACAGAGCTATATCACTTTGGGCTTTAGTCTGCAACTTGCTTGCAGCTGCATGCTCTGTGCTACACTCTGCTTCACCTTTCTTCTTGGCTACACTCATTCCGGCCTCCGTATGTTTTTTTTTTAAAACCCCGTATGTCATCCCAGCCTAACTAAGCACCAAGTCTCCTCTGCAACTTGTCCAAGACACACTTCTTTCTTGAATCCTGCTCACTCATAAGTCACTGTGTATCTAACTACTCCTTTATAGCTTCATGGAAGACAGCAATGGTTAAGATGGATGTGATTACAAACACCCACCCTCTAATCCAGCAATCAAAAGCATTTATCAGGTGCTTCCTTTATGTTTAGCATGTAGCAGGTCCTGAATTATGAGGACCTAAATTAGGAACTTCTACTCTCTAATCCTACCTTTTCCCAGTGAGAGCTGTATGGAACAATTCAATTTCATTTAGCCAAAACTGACCTGAATGTCTATTTCTTGAAAGGCACATTGCTAAGATGCTTTAGGGGCTACAAAGATAAATTGCAAACACCCCCTGGCCTCAGACCAGTTTCACAATACTTATAAATGGGATTCTAAATTATGAAAAACTTAAAACTGTGGGATTAAAGAAATGGCTGTGCCTAATTTGAACGGGATGAGAAATTCACTTTACTTATTTCTTAAAGAATTGCATAACTTGAAAACTGAGTTAATTGCAAAGTGTGTTGATGTTATTGCCATCACCTACAATGCTGGTGAAAAGAAACACAAGCCCTCCTTTGTCAGAATTATGAGAACTACTCTTGATTACTTGCTTCGGAATTTCTGAAAGTGACTTTTGGTTTTATAACCTAAGCAAATACTGTTATTATCATTTCAAATCTCATTTTTTATATCCTTTCATAATGTTATCCAAGTTCATTAAATGGTGCTGCCAAAGCTAGTGCTGAAAACAAACCAAAAATCAATAACTTTGGAATAGAAGTAAGATGGGATAAACCACCAGAAGAAGAACAATCACCAACATTAATTTAGGAAAGAGCCTTCAGCAAAACAACAAAGAAAATGTGAAAAGTAACATCAAAGCAAATATACGCTAAAATAATTATGAATTTATAAGTTCCAAAAATGCTTTCCCCCTTTGGGAAAATTTGTTTTGAATTATTTGAGTTTTAAGTTATACGGAGTCTCCAGGAATAACACTTCTCATATGAAAAGCAAGTGCCCTGTACTTAAATTTTATTTCCCACTGCTCTCCCTTACATTCCCTACAGTTTAGTTAGAAAAGTCTCTTTATTATTCCACACATCCTCTGCCAAGGAAACCAGTATTATTCC